AAAAAAAATTTCTTATTGACTTTAATTTCAATTAATATATTTTTCATCTAATAGAAAAATCCTTTTAGTTTAATTAAAAAGCAAACTTCTTTCATCATTCGAATTGTTTAGCAATTCATTCGTAACAGGTTTCTTTATGTGTAGACAGACAACGTTGTCAATTTAATTTTAAGCTCAATCGTTCTCCATTAATTTAATAAGCATCATTAAAACAGATAGAACATCAAACAAAATGAATAATTTACTTGAAACAAAAATCACTTTTTAAAGATTGAATGTAAAGGATCTAATTAGAAACAGACTAAGATCACGACAAAACTGAAAATTTCGATCTCGGTACATCTCTCCATCTACTTAAACAATTCCTTCATACAATATTCGTAAGAAGGCAAAAACTAAACAAAAATAAATAATTTTTGTATTCTCTAATTCAGTTCATTTTTATCATCTTATCGCCATGGCAAAACTATCTAATTATTAATATTTGTAAATAATCATGTTAGATCTAAACAAATAAATTTCAAATTATGATATAAAAATCAATTGCTTTCATTAGAGGACAATGCTTTCTCATGTAAGTTATATATCAATGATATAACCAAGTGTTGTTAAAGAATATTTTTTTCTTTGAGTTTTTCTGCATTTCATTTTATAATTTAGCAAAACTTCTTATGAAAAAAATAAATTTTATCTTAACTAATCATGAAATGATTCTTTTAGCAATTAAAAATCTATTAAATGAACTAAGACGAAAGAGAAAATATTGACCTTCAACACCTCTTAGAATTTTCTGTTTACTTCAATAGGATATGATCGTTTGATCAACAATGTTAATATGCTAAAACAGATGATTTAGAAGCTTTTGTACAATATTAAGCGGATTAAAATAATTTTTATTTATAATAAAATATTCTTGAAGAATGTGAGTGTGTGAAAAGAGAAGATGATCCGATGTGACGATTGTATGTCCTTGTAATTACTATGAAGAAAATACAAAGGAAATAGTAAGACTTATTCGCAAATGATTCTACATGATCATTCCTTATATACTACTCATAGAAATAAAACAAAAGGAGTGATACTTAATTTATAAACTAATATATAGCCTGCTGTCTTGTCAAGGTGAAGCACGACGATGAACAGGATCGGTTTTTAGACCTACAGAGTAAAGTTCGAAAATGTCCCAGATATTCATATTGGACTGTGTAGCACTGTATATCTAATTCAATCAGATAAAAATAAACGCAGAACAATAGTACAGAAATAACAACAAGCATTCAGTCAAGAAAATTTCTTTCTTACTTGCTTGCATTAAATTTGCATTCATTGTGCAATATATAAGCTTATTGATATTGGTCACTTTGTCATCTTGATCATGTATCATATATGCGAAATAATGCGATATTGTGTTTTATCTATTGTGAAAAATTTCATTCGAAGTTTTTTTACAACATACATTTCACTTTTCAATTCAACATTATCTACGTCGACTTTAACAAGGCAAAAAAAAAAACAAAGAAAAATTAGATTGACCTTAGATTTTGAATAACAGACAATGAAGTTCTTCATTTTTTTCTAAATATGCCCTTTTCATGACCTTTGCTCTCTCTCCGAAATATAGAAATATATATACACATGCAGATGGAAATGTTTGCACTCATATGCAAATTAACCATGTTGCCAATGAACAACACGATATAAAAAATCCAATGACGATAACAATGACAATAGTCAAGATTAATGACGAAACAGAGAAAGACAATGGGGTAAGGCTGTGAAAAATTTCACTTGATATACATATTTTATTAGATTACTAAAAGAATGTCAAAGAGATGTGAAAAGTTCCATCTCTATTGTAGTTCTGTTGGCAGTTTCTATCTTTCCTGACAATCACTTGCGTCAGCTACTGTCTTACATTGCTATTGTATGCATTCACATCGATTTCATTGGCAAAAACAAAATATGAACCATACAAGTTTCGAAGAAATTAAAATAAAACACTTCCAAATGCACATATTTTTATGAATGCATATTTTCTCATTATTATAATCAATATTTTTTTCTTAGAATTACGTTTTTTCGGACGTCATTATTTCGTTCAACTATGGCGAGAAAACGAATGGATACAATGTAGATTTATTTTAAGTATCCTTATTTACCTGACCTATCTGATCTGTACTCATGCCATTCCATTTAATTCTTCAACAATAACAAGAGAACAATATTTGAAAGTAAAGGAAAAATTAATAATTTTTTTTTTTTTTTTTTTTTTTTTATTATGCTTTATTAAGTGTAGAGTTAATGCCCGTGGGCCTATTAAGACATCAAAGGTAGTGTTCCAATATGTTAGATGAGGTGTTTAAAGGAGAGAGGCAACAGCTAAAAAACGAAACACCAACAACCATTATATAAAAAAGAACGCCAACAAAAAAAAGAAAAAAAAAAAAAAAATAGAAACGAGAGCATCGACAGAAAAATAGCAAAATAAAGTAGCAGAGGAAGAAAAGAACACCCTAATAAAAATTTTCTTGAAAGAACCGGGACGTGGTGGTTAAGATGGAGAGTGGGAGAGTATATTATAGTCATGCTTGACATGGTCGTCAGATCAATTCCACTTTTATATTTGCTTCATAGAAATGAGTGCGTGGAAGAACAGAGTAAATCTAGTTCGTCCTTGGGTATCAGGGGAATTGAGTTCCTAACATTGGTTTCGAGCCACCTTAGACATTTTTCGATGCTCGTGCTTAATGGGACTAGTCGTTTCGATCGGTATACACTTTTTATTCTAAACTCTTTGTCCAGCCATTGGTTTCTAAGCGTGTTGAGTGCATGCTGTTCGAACAGCATGGACCCATCTATTGAGGTAAACAGATGGGTTCGATACTTTTCCCAGTATCTAGTGCACAGGTTCTCAAGGGCTTTTTCTTCGAATAACGCTGAGAAGAGAAGATCATTCCAATGAGAGGCTCCCAGAGTACGTTTCAGACAGGTAAAATAGAAATGTCCGAGGTCGTCCTTTTGGCAATCTGTAAACAGAGGAAATACACTGAACAACCATGTGAATAGGGGAAGAACATAAGTAGAAAATAGGATTCTACGAAATTCTCTTGAGGAAGTGCCATACATGTGACATGATTTCACTATTGCAACTCTCTGTCTGATTTTGCTCTTGTACCAACCGATCATTTTGTTCCAGCCTAATTTACATGAGATATGGTATCCAAGGTATTTAAAGCTATTTACCCAAGCGATTTTATGATTTCCCATACAGACATCAAACCTTGGGTTACCAATCGCGCGCGCAGACCAAATTAATTCCGTTTTATCGTAATTAATTGGTTGTACTGCTAGGAGGGCATAGTATTCGAGATACTCGAATAATTTCTTGAGTTTTTTCTCCAGATCAAGGCATTGCTGCGCATATTTGATACCCATCATACCGCCTACGACGCATGCCAAATCATCGGCAAAAAAATTGGGGAGAGAACTTTGTAGAAAGGTCCACATATCACAGTGATATGTGATAAAAATGGCCGGGGTCAAACATGATCCCTGTGGGCCTCCTTTGAGGATTGGGAATAACCTAGAACGTTTATTGTTCATCTCAACAAAACCTAATCTGTCTTTCAACCAACAGTCTATCCACCTTACATATGCATGGGGTATCCCCAGTCTAATTAGTTTGCCTAGACAACCGGCCCACCACAACTGGTCAAAGGCCTGCTTGAAGTCTACAAAGACTGTGGCCACTGGTGCACTCGTACTCATTAGGAAAGATATTTGATCGATTAGGTTTAGTACCCTCGTCTGCAATCTAAAATTCGATCTGAATCCGGATTGAGAATCATGTATGATACCCCTATTTTTTAGTACCAACTGGAATCTATTCAGGAACAAGCGCTCCAACACTTTAAGGAAAATGTCTAATAAGGAAATGGGACGCGTATCCTTGATATTACAGATAGGTTCTTTTTTTGCTAGTAGTTTCATTTTTACGTGTTTCCAATAGGAAGGTGTAGAACAACTAGTAAAGGAATCGTTGAATATTTGTAACAGCGGCCCCATGTATGCGTTCGGAATAAATTGAAGCATGTAGGGTGATATACCATGCGCATCGCTCGAGTGTTTTTTCTTCACTTTCGATACCGCTTTTATAAGTTCCGGCATATAGATAGGAGGGATCGGGTCCTCGTAATTATCCCAATGTATATCCGGACTATCTACGTACGGATGCGGACGGTAGACTAGAGATTCAGAGAAGATGTTTTCATAATGGGACGCTGCTAACTCCAGCATACCTTCATTGTCATTGACAATTTCCTTATTGTCATTGATTAGCGCAGCAAGGGAGTTATTTGTTTTAAAATTTTTCCTTAGTTTAGACCAAAAGAGATTAGACGCTGGCGAAGACTTATATCTTTCATTCAGTGAGCTTATTAATTTTCGCGAACGGATTGTAGCTAATTCCTTCCTGTTTTGTCTTCTGAGCTCCTTGATCCACATGTGTAGTGAGACCTCCCCGGTTCTCTTGTGTTGAAAGGACAAAGCCCGTACGTAGGATAATCTTTGTCTAAGTTCCTTGGGGATGGCCGCGCGATATTTGTTCAATGGGAAATAGCTGGTACATCTAGCTTTTAAGCTATCTAGTAGAATAATAAAGTTCTTGTAATACTCGTCAGCTGTGGCTAGTTTACTCTCGCTCTCCCAGAATTCTGAAGTAAGCGCAAGAAAGTAATGGAAAACCTTCCAGTGTGTATTGCTACCTAGCAAATTTTTCTTGTTTTCGCAATTCACAATTCCTAACATAGGTTTGTGATCACTCGTTGTGTTGTCTATACAAGCTTGAATCGTCAACGGGATACCCACTGTAAATGCATAATCAATAACCCGATTTGATCTAAGTGATGTGGCCGTTTCAGGTACAATTGGGGTAAGTGTCCTTGATGTAGACCAATCTAGTAGATCTTTAGCAGCTCTTTCATCAGTATTGCTATCTAAATCTATGTTAAAGTCGCCAAACAAGCAACAGCAGTCGGTGGTGTAGCCTGAGAGCGATTCCCATTCCCAGGTTTTACTCCTAGGGGCATAGATGCCTATGAGTCGAATAATTTGCTCAAATAGAACATCGACCACACATACATTTGGGATCTCACATTTCACTTGCTTTATGGGTATATCAGGTTTAAATAACATCAGGACTCCTCCCCAGGGATTTTCACCCTTTTGATGAAAATATCTGAAATTAGTGAATATCTGTTTCAACTGCAGGGATTCGATTGCTCCAATCTCAGTTAAGATTATACAGTCGGCTTTGTACTTCTCAGCAAGCAGCAATACCTCTTCCCACCTTTCATCTAAACCACGTACATTAAAAAACAATACATGAAACTGAGAAGAGAGAGAGTAAGTACACATATTACTATTAGTTTTCCAAAATGAAAGACAAGAAGAAAGGGTGGGGTGAGCGAACCATTCATTAACAATATCAGACAGTAGATTATAATCATAACTAGATAGGATGGGCGATACAAAGGTGAGAGCATATTCGATATCAAAGTTTTTCTTTTTCAATATCGATGGTGTAAACACACGAGCAAAAGGGGACAGTTTATTAGGTGATGTTGTTGTAGTTATTGGTTGGATGTATGGGGATAAGTTGAGCTGTTGGTGTTGCTGGTGGCCCCTTCGATGGGTAAATGATTAATTGAGTTATAATCATTGATGAGTTTCAATTTCCTGTTTTCGTTTTGGAGGAATTTATTCGTCCATACCGGCAAATCGTTCGAGAGTTTAGTACAAAGTGCAGATAATGATGGACAAAGTAGGGTTTTGTCGTTCAATGTATTTTGCTTGACTAAGGTGGGGACTACTTCGACCAATACTTGACATATTGGTGAGATAAATTGACTCACAAACTCACGTTGAAATGCCGTGTCCACTTGTTGGAGTTGTAAGTCGTGGTTGTGAGCGCTGATTACTTGTTGGATCCGTGTCAGTTGATCTGAATACATGTTATTTAGATCCAATAAACGATTTAAGTTCAGATCTAATTTGTTCATATTGTTGAAGAGTTCGTCGATTCGTTTAACAGTGTTGTTGCAGCATGTGTTATTATTTCCATTATAATTATTCCTATAATTGGAATGTAATAATGGATAATCAATGTCATTATGACTATATTTTATATGGCCTTGTTGTTGTTGTTGTGATTGATTTGTTGTTGTGCCTGCTGACGCTAAGAGAGATTTGGTGAGTACAGCACGATATGATTTAATATCGGGACACCTAATATCATTAGCATCGTGCGGTCCTTTACATCTGATACAACATTGTGTTTTATTACACGTTTCTTTGTGTTGCTTAATGTCATTAATACTAGATCCACAGGTTCTACAATAATCCGTAGCACTTTTACAGTTGCTTCGGAAGTGCCCAATCTGGTAACACTTTCTACATATCAACACTCTGGCTGGTGACAGGTATTCCGTCACCCCCATTCTAAGATTGTTAAAAAAAATAAATTTCTTACCACGTAGTTCATCAATGATTTTAACATTGTTGATGTCAATTCTAACAAGGGTTGTCGATTGTTTATTCTTGTTGATAATACGACCAGCACTCATGACATCAGGATAATCGCTTTTAAGGTGATTTAATAATAAGCTGATGTCAATATCCATCGGCACATTCCGAAGAATTAATGAGAACTGTGGAGGTAAATGATTAGGTAATTTATTATCATAATCCAGCGACTCAATTGTTGCTGGCCATTTTTGTTTATCATATAACATTGTGAATGATTCACGATCATCAACAAAGATTAATAAATCTCGTTTTTGTTTTAATCGATGACCGGCAATATTCAGTTGGAAATCATGATTGGTGGAATAATATGCAACTAAATATTTAATAATAACTTCTTCATTAACATCTTGCTTGAAATTCAAAATAAATGGTGGAAAGGCGTAACGGGTCTCGGCGAATCGTTTCGCCTGTTGTGTTATATCAATTGGGTTGTACCTTGTGCCTGGTGGAATATCTTTATTTAATGTATGAGCAGCATTAATAGGTTTGGCATTGGAAATAATACTAGCTGTATTTGTTGAAGAGGTCGAACCATTTGTGGATATACTTGGTGATGATGAAGAGGACGATGATGTTTGATTTTGTGTAAGGTCGATTTTCTTTTTCTTTATTTTTCGTTTTACTAACGTAAAATCATTATCAGCTTCACTCTCCATAGGTGTAACGACATTTTGCACAATTGGATATTGTTGATGATTCAGATGATGATGAGTCATGTC